TATTTACCTCGTGTTCCATCCTGCTTCGTCAACCATGTCCAATCGATAAATGAACCTTATGTATAAAATCAAATAACTCTTCATTATGTATATAATATATAATTTCGTTGTTTTCAGATACTGATACAATTAACTTATTAACATCAGAAACATGTAACACGTCATATTTTTTTAAAAGTTTAAAATCATTTGGTTCCTTTTTCTTTGAATTGTTTTTATTGATTTTTATGTAAAATTAATTGATCATATTTTAACTTGGTAAAAAATGAAGTATTTGAACCTTTTTTTTTTTTAGCAAATTGTTTAAACCTTCATTAAACTTTTCCATATTCGAATGAGTAGTTAGATACGCACTGAATGAATTAACCTGCACTATACAAACGATTCACGGTTACTAAATAGTTCATTTTTGAGAATAGGTAAAAGGCCGACTGCACGATAATCATTACAACTTCATATAATATAACTTATAAATCAGTAAATGTAGAAATAATATATTATATCACGTACATGCATATAATATATGGACAAGCAGACATCCCCATTGTAAAAATTCGATAAGAACACACAAACTAGTTACAGATAATAATTTGACTTTATTTTAACTATGTTTTACGATTTATCATATTTCTTTAAAAAATATAATCCGTTTTCTATATTGCCCAAATTGTATACTTTGCCCGTAACATATATATATATATATATATACATATAAAATCAAATACCACCTACTCATTGATCATCACTTCATCTCAAAAACGACAAAATATATGAACTTGAAATTTGACATAATTGTTTTCCAATGTTCTAGATGTACAATAAGAAAGGAATTTTAAAAAATATAAACACCGATGAAAACGGTTCTATGATGCAAAATCGTACCCGGTTCAGTGTATAACTAAAACTACCATACCGATTCATTTGAAATTTCATTTTATTTGTTTTATAACCAGCAGTTACACCCAACTAGACTTTAAATAGTATTAGGTATTAGTCCATTACAAACTATATCTTGACCAAAACTGTTTCGTACGAAACCGAGAAATTCAGTTTGTAATTAATTAATACATATATTTTTTATAAAATAAATGTGATTTTTGTACTTTACTCAGAACTCTTATGAAAACTAATAATAACTATTAATTATAAGAAAATAAAATATTTGTACAATTTGTAAAACTGAATACAAACGTTATTATCAAAGTATTTTTTCCTATATATTTACAAATACTTATAAAAATACTAACTGAATTACTCAGCCGACTTCTCCCGTGAAAATAAATGATTTTCTTTATGTCAGGTAAAGTTATTATTGGGAAACAAAAAAATAAAAATAAATACTTTTTATTGTAAATCCTATTGTAAATTATTCAATATTTTTTTATTGGTATTAGAAACAAAATAAAAATGCCTTTTTACTTCATTTTCTGAATTACCCATGAAATATATTTGTAAAAACATTGGTTTTTATAGATTACTGGGTAATAAAAAACCAGCCAAATGATAAACTTGATCTTGGATTAAAAATTTTGGCATAGCTTCCAATCTTAATTTATGTTGCACCAAATGATGTAGCTTGAAAAACCGAATTATACTCACGATATTTTGAATATAGTTGAAAACAACCGAAAGGATTTTTAATGGTTCAATTAAGTCAGATATTCAATATCTTTCGAAAAAACCTTTCCCTTCTGAACAGCAAGGACCTGAAGGTTGTTTCGATATTTGATAATTATAATTTCTTATTATAATTATAATTACAATTACATAATTGCTCTTTAATCTGCTAGTTCGTTGAAATTATACTGGCACCGAGTTTTCAATCGTTCTTCGGATGTGAGATGACAAATTTTGGTTGTCTCAAATTACATAATTTGAAAGTAAGAAATTAATTTGTGCGTCTTACGCGAAAATAATTTCGAATCGTCTAAATGGCCAGCAAGAAGTAATTGTGATGGTTCAAGTAGAGTGAAACGAGGTAAGAGTAAAAGTCTTTCTGATACGCAATACTCGTATATGTCGGGTATTTCATTGCTAAAATTTAACCCCTGACAAAATTGGCATACTTTTTTTATTGCACCAATACCAACTTTAAAATTAACTTAGAAATTAATGTCTGATTTATATTCAAACGCAATACGAACAAATTATGCGGTTAATTCGCATTTTCTCTCGGACCCGTGCTTTATATATGACTGTGTTATTCACGCATTACCCTTATTCTCGATGTTACTTGTTGCAGACGTTCATCATGTTGTTATCATACACGTGATAAAAGTGCATAACTTTCTCTTGTCCTGATTCTTTGAGTTATGTTTCTTGCCGTGAATTGCTTGAAATTATCTTTCAACACGTTTGTATCATGCCGCTTTGGTATTTCGATTGTGGAAGTTGGATTCTTTCGGTAGCATAAAAATAAAATAGGAATCATAAAATGAAAAGCAAGGAAATAATACTTATGTTTTTAAAAGTTTTTGGTTGTACAGTATATTGTTACTGAGATAATAATAAAAGTGTCATTAAATTTAATCCACCACCATCTGTTTCCTTGAATTCGGTGTTCTTATCCTCTTCCTGTTGTGTTCCAAATGTAATACATCGGTACCTCAACCTACAGAAAAGTTCTTACAAATTAATCTTTTGTGTAGAAATCAAAAAAAGCTGTTAGTGTCGTTTTTTAGAGGAGAAGGTGGTTGCTCTTGGAAATTATTTTCAATAAAATAGACACGTTCACCATCTTTTAGGTACACACTTTGAGGTATGTGACAATGGGATTCCTTTCTGTTTTTTCGATTTTTATACCAACAATAAAACAACAACTGACCATTCAGACCTTATCAGGTCGTTGCAACTCATTTGCGCACATTCAAAATTTTTTACCTGAAAATCGACGACTCGTTTACGCACAACTACACATTCACATACATGACACATGTACCATATACATTATCGTCACAGACTGCAGTATAAATAATTAAATATATTATCTTAATATTATCTTATAATCAACTGTGAAGACTGTAGATTATATAAATTTGAATTTTCCAAACAACTTTTAGTATAGTTTCAGTAGATATGGACGGTATAGATATGGACGGCACAGTGGTGACTAATGTGTTAACGACGTAAAATTTAATATGGACGTAGAAATTTCTAATATTTTTGAATCTTGGCGAGGAAAACAATGTTTTAATATTGATAATTATAAATTTAATGAATGTCGTGTTTTAATAAGTGAATGTTTAAATTTTAGATGCACTAATAAATAATGCCTCGTAAGTATTATTGTTAATAAATCAAACAAAATAATAAAAATAATCAATTCTCATAATCATGAGGAATATAATAATCAAATATGTTCCGACACTAGGGATTTTCGTCACAGGTAGCCAAAATATATGTGCGCAATCGAGTTGTAGCCTATCAGGTGTACTGCTGTTTCCCATTTCTTTTTTCTGCGATAAAATATATCTTAAAAGTTTATTTTTTATCAGATATTTTGTAATTAATTTTATCAAACTAACTCAAATTGTTATTATAAATAGTTGTTAATAGTTTTTGAATTTTAATTAAATAATGATTTCACTTATAATATTTAATAAAATAAAATAGAAGATATAGAAAATCAAGACGAGTGGATGTATAAGACAAGGATGGCCGACCCCAAATAGTTAGAAGGAAGGCGAAGGAGAAGAAGATGAATAACAAAATGCAATAAAAATTATTAATAATTGTAAATCAATATAGAAATAAATAATATTAAAATAAAAAGAACATATTTTTGAATTCAATTATAAAAGACTACTCCTTATTCAAATATTGCTAAACATATTTAGCAATTTACAATTTAGCAATTTACATATTTAGCAATTACCTAAAATAAAATTTACATTTATTCAGTTTTAGAAGATTTACACATATAATGAAATAAAGAAAAAATTATTTTATTAATACGAGTATTTTAAATGTACAGACTGATTTTAAAAATAATACCATATGGATATCAATACATTTAAAAAAATAATAAATAATAACCAAAGTATTTATATTTTTTTTAACACATCTATGTCTAATAAGAACTCATTTTAAATAATCTCTCCTATAAAAATAAATTCACAATTTTATTGATTTTGTATATATGATGAACTTTCAATTCGAATTCAGCAGTACATTATAAATATAATAATACTCCAGGTTTAATATTTATTTATTTATAATTTCTATATATTAACTATTTATTTATATACTTATATTATTTATTCATTAAGAAGCAGTTAATTTATTAAAGGGAAATGTATACGTAACACTGTTTAATGAGGTTTACATTATTCGGATAATAAGTACACTATACCATTTTTCAAAAATATCTCATCAAACATTTAATTTTTAATTTCTTTACAATATTACCGTAAACACTTTGTCAATAAATCAAAAAAATATTATTTTGATTTGATAAAATAAATAATATTTCATAATTAAAAATTTTTATTACTGGTCCAATAATTAATATCATCCAGCTTAGAGAAAGCTTTAAGAAGTCTCTTTTGTTACTATTGATTATATATATTTTATTCAGTTATATGCTGGTACTAATAGTCTTAAACGAATAATATTAACATATATATATATATATATATATATATATCAATTATACATCATGACAAATACTGAAAACTATCTTAATCAATAAAACTTAAGTATAGTGAATAAAACTATATCTCTGACTGCAAATTTAACTAGCGATGTGCAAATATGATTTTTTGTTATGGATAAAACGATTAATTTATATTTATTTTATGTACCTATGAGTAAATTAAATTTGAAAACAGGAATAAATTATAAATACTTTAATTGATTAAAACTATCTAAATGTTCACCAATCAATAAATACGAGTACAAATTATTTCGAATGATTTGTGTATAGTGAATTAAAAAATAATGTGGTTATGTAGTATTTGAATAACAATATTTACGGACTGGGAGCATAAGAATAATGATACCTGTAATACTCGCTCTCCGGTCACCAAAATACTTTTAACATCTGCACACCGATCGATCTGTTTATTTTGTATAAAATGGTTTATAGCTCAACTAGAATTGGTTGGATTCGCCTTGCAAATACTAGTGAGCTATATAGTGTAGTGTTGTGTAAGGTGTATCTGTGCCTGTGTGTGCTTAAATCTATAAGAAAAATAGGTATTAAAAAAGATGATAATTCAATATATTATAAAAATCTTGCTGCGTATTGTTTGGTAGTTTTGGCCCTTTTGGCCTAACAATTAAATTATAATAAACTTATAAATAATTAAACAATCCACATATTATAGTCGGTCCTTTTGGTCCAACATCAAATTAATAAATAATATAATTATAAATATGTGGCCCTTTTGGCACAATAATAAACAATAGAATATAATAAGCAGCCTATTTGATCCAACAGCAAAAAGTTAATAAATTAAACAATTAATAAATAAAATATATAAAACTCATAATTTGGTGGAGCGCAGACTGGCCAGCTACAAATTCTTAAAACGCTGTAATAATATACAGTGGAACCTCGATAACTCGAACCTCTATAAGTCGAATTTTCGATATCTCGAAGGAATGCCTTAGTCCCTGGCTTCCAATATATGATATATGTGATAAATTTTCTCTATAATTCGAATTTCGCTAACTCGAATTTCTCGATAAGTCGAAGTAATTTTAGTTGAATTTTAGCTTATAACTCGAAGGTCAAATAACCAAGTACATATGTATGTATTATTATAAATAACGATAATCGTAATCGAAAACCGATTAATATTATCAATCTTATCATTACCTATACTACTTAAAAGGTACAGTTATAAATTCAACGATATATGTAATATGTCTATAATACGATATAATGTCTATATCTCCGATAAGTTACGTTTATCTACTTTATTAGTGTATTTATTACTGGTAAAATTATACGTCAATTGAAATACGAAATGTATACGTCGATATTTAATATAATGCTGACACAGCAAATGTTCAGTTTATTTTGTCAAGACAAGATGGAAAAACGCAGTTTAAAGTCTCTAACTATCTTTTTATTCTTTTATTCTACTTTATTTATTACATTATACTTTCTTAACATTTTAATACAATATACATACCTATATAGTACATATATTATTAATTTATTAGTAAATACATAAATAAATAAAATTATAAAATTAAAGTCTTTGTGTTTTTAAATAAAAAATATTTTCGATAACTCGAATTTTTTTTTCGCCCCCAACCGATTCGAGTTATCGAGGTTCCACTGTATAACACCCCGACAAATAATATAAATTTAAACAAGAAATATGATCCTTTACAGCGATTTGTGCTCGTAAACGGACAACAAAATTAAGCGATTAAAGCATTGTTTCCCAACCTTTTTATCACCACGGACCACTTCGACAATATTTTATAGGTCGCAGACCACCTCAATTCTACGAAAACTAAGAAGACCTTTTTTTTTTGCTCATTAACAAGAATACACACAATTTATCGAAAAATTTTTATTTTTATTATTTTACTTAACATTTTATTACTTACTTCACTAATATATAATTATACTTAACTATACAAAATAATTTACTTAATGTGATTTTTGTGACTGCATTTGTTTGGTCAGTTTTTCAATTCTCGGATGAATAGAAAATCCTTGTTCGCACAAATATGTAGTTGAAAATTCTAGTAAATAACGTAAGGTAATTTCTCGGAGTTGAATATGTCATATTGCTCTTCTGCACCAAAATTCCTTAAGGTTAATACCAGAATCAAATATATATTTGCAATTAGAGTCATTTTGCAATTCGATGACAGCTTCTTGAAGATATTCTGGAACTTCAACTTTTGCACAAAAAGGGTTTTGAATTATTTTTTGAACACTGTTAACTTCGTTCCATTCCGGAAAGTAGCAAATAAATTCAGATTTTAATTTTTCCAGATGTTTTTTTTATGTTATGTTGAATTTCGATTCTAATATCAGCATATTAATCGTCGTTGATAAATATTTGGATAATCTGAAATTCCGAATAATTATTATTCTCAATTTTATTTATCCATAGATTAATTTTGCGTACAAATGCGCGAATCTTATCTTCAAAAATAAAAATATTTGCTCTAAATTCCAAGGTTTTGTTTCCTGAACCTTGAAATTGCAAATTAAGGTTATTTAAGTGTTTAAAAATATCTACTAAATAAGCAAGTTGTAATTCAAATTTCAAATCACAAAACTTTTCAAGTAACTCTGAATCCTTCTCGTTTAATAATATTTTAATTTCCTCTTTTAGTTCATACAACCGTTTCAGCATATTCTCTCAAAGCCAGCAAACCTCTATATGAAAAAGTAATGTGTTGTATTCGGAATCCAATTCAACACAAAGTTTTTTTGAAAATACGTGTATTAAATGCTTTGCTTTACACAAAATTCACTAACTTTATTGCTAATTTCAAAGCATTAGCTAATTCTTCTGGTAATGTTTTTGAAGCTAACGATTGCCGATGAATGACGCAGTGTGTCGTTAAAGTTGGCGGATTTTTTTTCTTTTAATAATGTTGCAAGACCTGAACAGAATCCTAACATAGCTGGAGCTTCGTCCATACAAAAGCCAACTAGATTCTCTCACTTGAGATCATGATGTTCAAAATAATTGCTAATGATTTGCATTATATCAATCCCTTTCGACGTTTTCTCAAGTACACTTAACAGCAATACCTAACTCTTCTTTTATGATCTTATCTCAATGTCTAAAAACCGCACAAAAACTAATAACTGGCAACATTGCGCAATGTCAGTAGTTTCATCACATTGAAGAGCGAAGTTAGGGGAACTTTTTATTTTACCTAGTAGCTACTCTTTGACATCGCATAACATTTTTTTTCAATTCGTGCCTTTATTGTATTATTGGAAAGTGGTATATTTTGAATCTTTTTCTTGGCATCTTCACCGAAAATATTTGAAGCTATTAGCAAGCAAGGTTTAATTAATGTTTCGCCAATACTGTGTGATAATATTTCAAATGATGCAGTTAGTACTTGTTGTGACAATGCAACATTTGTCCTACTTGGTCCAAGTTTCATTTTTTTTAAGCTTTTACATTTTTCTTCAAAAAATTTGGGTGGTCGGTCTTTGAGTGCAGGATATACAGTATGAAAATGTCGCTGTAGCATTGCTGGTATCAAAACATCATTATTAAGCACAACAGTATATAACACACACTAAGGTCTTATTTCTTGATTTATTTCAATTTCAGTAAATCCATATTTAATATAATTATCATCATATTTCCTTTTCCATGACATATTCCTGACTAAGTCCAACTATAAGTTCCGAAAAAAAAATCCCTTAACAAAACCAAACTATTAACTTTTATTTTTTTTTAAATCGTACTGTGTGGTAATCTAACGAATAATGAGCACATACTGAATCAATATTCATAACTAATTATTAATAAAATAAATCTTTAATAAATCTTTAAAAGTAGAATAAACTTATCGGTTGTCGGCAGAAACAACGATAAAATAACCATATAATATTATAAGGTTCCTCGATAAATCGTAATTTTTTTTACTAATAAAAAAAAAAAATAATAAAAATAATTTCTAATAGAAATCTATGAAACCGCGGACCACCCATGACTGGCCTACGGAGCATCGGTTGGGAAACACTATATTATAGCTTACAAATAATAATAAAAATGGCGTTTTTCACTCACAGAATAATAATTAATTAATAAGGTGGCAATTGGCGCACACACGAATAATAATGACTTAGTAATAAAAATATTGTTTGAGCACTAATATCAATAATAATATTACTTGCTATTAGAGCAAATATAGGCGACGGTAATAAATAAATGATAATACATCCAACAATTGTGACACTGAATATATGTATATAATAATAATAATAATATAATATAAATGTGGCAATTCGCACACACGTATAATAAAATAGGAATTAATAACTGCAATATGGCGACTAACGCCAACGCAATAAAAGTATAAAATATAAAAAATAGTTATAACAAAAAAACAGTAATTCGTGCGTATAAATTAAATATTATTTTAACGGCCTTCTTGGACTTCACGCGACGACTTACGGCAGAAGACAAAACACGTCGGCCGTGTTAAACTACGTACACCGGTTAACCGGCGACGGCAGATAACGTGCCGATACGTAATTTGAATATTTCAATATTATATGGTTCACAAGAATATAAATAATGAAAACAAAAATATAAATAATGACTAACGCATGTAATTGTGTATGTGTGTCGGTCGGTAGCTAAACTGCATTCGGGCCTCAAAAAATATAATTACAATATTGTCCTATTTTCTTTTGACAAATGTCTCGATAGATCCGTTAATATTATAAATTACGCCTTAAAAATGCTCTCTTCTATACTTTCTAATTCATTCTTCACTACAGCTCCTGAAAAAAGCCATTTAATATTATTTACACATAAACAAATTTAGGCTCACCCTCATTTGATATTATAAAATGACAAAAACACAAGAAAATACAACCATCTTATTCCATCACCTACTTAGGTTTTAAGCTCGATCCTAAGCTAAGATGGATCCCACATTTTCAGTTCCTAAAAGGTATACTTCTTCGCTATTCTAGCGTTTTTTCGAACTACAGCGGGTTCTAATTGAGTCTCACATCCTTCATGTCTTTTAAAAATGTTAATGCCCTTATCAGAGCGAAATCTGACTACGGTTCTTTTATTTTTATCTCTGCCGTTCTCGCACACCGGAAAATGTGAAAATTGTGATTTTAACCACATTATTTTAATTATCCTTCTCTTCTTCCTAGCCTACAACTTATTTTTTCTTTCCTGTCTTCTTTTGGTTATAGCACTCCTAAGACTATTCTCCTCCTTAGCTTTTGCTCCATTCCCATCATTCATTTTTTAATTAATTTCATACACTCCTCTGGCTTCCTTATTTTATTTTTTTGTCAGATTTCTATATATGAATTTAGTTTTTACTTTATTATTAATTATTATTTAGTTATTATATATATTTTATATATTTAATTGTTTTGTTACAATATTTTTATTTATTTAATTTTTTTAATAAAAACGAATTAAACCAAATATATATACATATAATAACAAAATAAAGATATAAAATTATAAAATAGTATTACAAATAAA